TGTCGGTTTGGTTCTGCTGCTGCTGCTGTGTTCTTTTTTTGACCTCGTCCACACTGAGTGGCCAGCTTTGGCACGTGTTCAGACCAGCTACCACGCATCTTCTCCTCTACAGCTCGCGGTTTTCACTATCTGCATATCACAGAGGGTGTTCGCGTGTGGTTTGCAGACCACGACAGGGCGTAGTGAGGAGGGGCTCGCGATCGGCGACAACTCGCGTGCTAGTTCAAATATTCTGCTGCTGCCGTGTTCTGAGTGGTGGGGCATTTTTTTCTACTTCTTCATTTATTAACGCATACGGAGTGCTGACAACAACGATTCGCATCAACAACATCGCATCAACAACATTTCGGGTGTGTGTACCAAGACAAAAGCAACACATATTCACGGGGGGCGCACGACTCAGCCTACTGCAGGTACTTTCCGCAGTACGGGTTATGCTGTTGTGATGGTGCGCGCGGAAAAAACTCCCCCCACTCGGGTCCCACTCGGGGTCTAGTATATTTGGAACGTTGTGTAATATGCAAGCAGAGAAATAAGAAATTGCCATTTAAGAAATTCAGCAGGATTTGGCTGCACGAAAAAATAAGAAACTTGGAATACGAAACTGAACGACATACTGTACGCTGAGTTTATAGCCCACAAAAGAATTCGAGGCTGGACCTGAAATAAGCGTTTCTTAACTGCGGGCGCCAACTGTTCCCTGTTCTTGCCAATTGTGTGTTCTTGAGATCTTCTGATGGCTCGGGCGTTTTTGTGACTATGGACCGAGTCTTTGCTAGATTTTGGGATTAGCAACTGACACGAGTTAAACAACAAACAACAACAACACTAGACTAGTGTAGACTAGTCTAGATAGCAAGTACATCCTCACTTGTTTCGTCCGTGTTGTGCACGTGGTCGGCCTTCGGCTTGTGCTCGTCGAGGAGAGCTGCCCACTTCTTATAGAACTCGACGATGAGAGGCTCCTTGCCCTCGGTGATTCTGTTTGACTCGTAGATGCGAGTCGTGCGCTCCGACAGCCAGCTAGCTTGTCCTTCCCCGGACCCTACTCTGGATCCCAAGGGATCGGGCGACCGTCGTTGCACAGCTGTCTAACGGTTTCTAGCAGGTGCAGCCGGTCCACAGCCGAGTAGTGACGACCAGCGTACAGCAGAACATCTTCAAGAGAATTTTTCTCTTCTTCGCTCAGGACAGTCGCGGGACCAACTTTTGCTTTCATGGCCACCGTGCCATCGAGGCGGCTTCGACCACCTATCTAGCCCAAAGGGCCTAGAGGCCTCTCTGATCTTCATGCCACCTCCGAGCTTGGTCTGGGTCCACCTGGCGGCAGCCCATGCTTATCAGCCAAATCAGCAAAATACCGAAGATGGCCCGCGTCGGCGGTGGGTGGTGCTGCTGCTGCTGTATCTCGTCGCTGGGTCTCTGATTGCGACGCTGAAGTGCTCAAACGAACGCTCTATATAGTCTCTCCGCGAACCAACCTAAAAAAAAAGGATCAGTAACTAGAAACGGGTATTATGGGTACTTTGTCACCACTTTCGGGTACACTCAGAAATCAAGACGGTTGCACCCCCAGGCTGTCAGCTGATTGGCCACAAAACCATTGTACCCATTTCTGAAGAAACCTCCATCGGGTATAACTTCCGCTGGAGATAGCACCCTCTGGTGTAACCGATGTTGGTTACTGCTGTACCCGGCGAGGGTCGATTTTGTACCCAGAAATGGTCAAATAATCCCGGCGCCGGACGACTCAAAAACCCGCAAAAAAAAACGTGGTATACCGCATATACCCGCACGACACACCATATACCGCACATACCCCACAAACCACCAACGCTTGTTGACGGGCACATTGCCTCCAAGGATACCAATCTCCGACAGCCTCCTCCGTGGATCGCGGCGAAACCAACCGCCGTGCTCTGCTGCTGCTGCTGCTGCTGCTGCTGCTGTCCCTCGGAAGCATGAGACAGGTCGTGCCCGTTTTGTCTCTCTGTCCTAACCTAATGTACGAGCACCACAGCGAGCTAACTCGCGGATAAATGGAGTTCGACCCCCTCTATCTAGGAGAGGGGTGCGGGCCCACGAGTCGACAAATACGTGAAACTAGACTGACTGGTGAAATTGCCAACGGGCACACAGGAGGCGCAACACCCGCAAATGGCGATCTAATGGCGATCGGATCTTCCTTCCTCATGGGAATGCTGGTGGTGTGGACGTCACCCTCGCAAGATTTAGCAGAGTGTGCGACATGATGGCAGCTCGCTGTTGATAGCTACAGAGTTGGCGCCCGCAGTTAAGAAATAATTTCAAAGAAATTGAGGCTCACTTTTTCACGAAAACTAAGAAAATAGGGTTAAGAAACATACTGCTGTAGCTCAACCTGGGTCACACAATAATAAGAAATGTCTCAATAAGAAACACAGCGGCGACCGGTGCGCTACTACATTAGAAACGAGGGTTTACGGGGGAGTGTGTCGAATAAGAAACAAACCCCACAGCTCTCTTGCTCTTTCTACCTCTCCCCCAACCCCCCCCTCCCAAAGTGAAGCGTGGGGCTATGGAAGATGACAATATATAGAGCGAAGCATGGAGGATGACTGAAATTCCGCCGCGTTTCATGGTAAGTGACGTTCTGTGGAAACCCAAAACGCTTTTTCATGGGCGGGGACGCATTTTGTGACACC